TGTTGTTTTCCTCCACCTTCACTTGAACTTTGCGGTTTAAACTTTGCCGTAAGAGCTCCTTCAATAGTTACCTCAGATCTTGACGTTAACCTTTGCTTATAGGCTAACAAAGCACCTGTAAGTTTAGTTAAAGAAAGACTTGACAGATCCTTTGTATGCTCTATAGCCGTGGTAACAGCATCAAACTTTTCGGGTAAGGTAATCAACATTTTTTGCACCACTCTTTTGTCTGGTACGTCCTCTCCATTCAATTTAAGCTGATTCACCACATTAGCCACTCTAGAAGAGTAGTCCTTTACGGATTCAGCATCCTTCATCCTTAGATTTTCAAACTCTCTGCTCAAAGTTTGCAATCTTACTGCTCTCACTTGCTCAGACCCTTTGTACTCTTCTTGTAATTTATCCCAAGCCTCTTTTGCTGTTGTAACAGCCACAGTCTTGGGAAAAATTGTCTCGGTGACAGAAGAGTGCAAGAAGGTAAGAGCCTTCATATTTTTTATTCTACGATCCTTCTCTTGCCTCATTTGATTCACAGTAGGGTCTACATCCAACTCCTGTGGAGTATAACCTTCTTCAACAATCTCCCATAGATCATGTGCCATCAAGAAAGCCCTCATTCTGACAGACCAATACTCATAGTTTTCGCCTCCAAACATTATGGGGATAGGCATTGAAGCTAGAGTAGAATTTGCCATTTTTCCTCTTTCTCACAGGCCTTTAAGATCAGGAGTGCTCTGATACCAAATGTTGGTTCTGATTGTGATTTTAGTATGCAGCAGAAATAAGGATAGATTCTATCAAGACCGGATCAGTTCAGTAATAAGAACAGAACAAAAGGATATTTTGAGAGAAACTTTTTTTTATATATGAATTATATGATTTGAGTACATGACAAACCTATTTATAGGATAGCATAAGACTACTAAGAGTCACACAATTAAGAAGAATAATAATGACTAATAATGATGATGAATGCATCCATTAATAATGACTAATAATGATGGTGAATGCATCCATCTCTTCATCTTCCTCTCTAACACTCTTCATATTTCATCATGTGGAGAAAACCAAAAGTCTTCAATAATCAACAATTTTGAAACCAAAACTTTATCTTACCTTTGTCTGAGTTCTTTTATTTTGAAACCAAAACTTTATCTGATTGGTGCTAAGTGCTAGTTCCCTGCTCAATTGTTTCCTCTGATTCTCATCTGGATGTGGGCATTCCTTAAAGAACCTGCATAATTCCCATCAATCATGAGAAAAATATTTATGTTTTCAATTAAATAAATCAAAAATAATTCAGGTATTTAAAACCTTTAAAAATGAAAATCTATAACAGTTAATTGCAGCATCAAAAAAGTTGTAACCATGACCTACTACTAAAAAAATTATGGAATCTCTTTTACTTTTAACGAAAATAACCACCACTTTAATATTCTTCAATAACTAGAAAATGG